CTAAAATATTTAATTAATCATATATATTAAAATTATAAAAAGAGTGGTTGAAGATAACAATCAAAAATTAAATTAAAAATACAAAGGCAATAACCACTGCGCCAAGTTGCACGTAGCAAAAATATATTAAATTGAGCGTGAGGTCATAACGAATCGAATAATTGCATAGATATAGATCATAAATGTAAAAAAGCTAAAAATTATAATCAAATTAAAAGAATATTATTATTGCAAAAATTAGCAGACTGAAAGTCGTATTAAAAGTTACATCGAAGATTCGCATAAGTAAGAAACACTGACATTAATAGACAAACGCACGTTTCGAACCTTTACTGGTTCATTCTTAATGTCAAATTATAAACAATAGAATTATAGAAAAATCATAATACAAAGTCAAGCAGTAATGTCGCAGATAAACAAATAAATTCAAATGTAACCGATGCAACGTATCTCTCAACAAAACCATTCAATTATATGTGCATAATGCAGATGTTATACAAGCATAATGCAGATGTTATACAAGATGATGTAATTAAAAATTCGCACACAAAATGATGAAAGAAATTCCCGTCAATTCCCGTAGGTGCGACGAAAATGCATGATGCTCACTTGCCAGCCTTCCAAAGCTGTAGAGAGCCGACGCTGACAAAGCCTAGAAGCATTCAAAAAAAGGGTGTGCAATAGTACCCATTCCGTGATGCAATACGGCTACTGCAACTAGTCTCCATGCAACGGAAGAAAGAAACTTGGTCCATCCACGAAAAGGTTAAAAGAGAGTGACAGAATGATCTGTACAAAAAACAAAACAGAGCAACACACATTCCTGCGACGCAACAACGAGACAAAAATAAAAAAATAAAAAATAGAGAAACGTATTGTATAGGTAGGTGCAAGGAAGCAGTCAGATTAAGAGAATTAATGAGATACCTGAGAAAGGTGACTTAAAGATTTATGCTAAATGGCCATCCGACACAGTCAAACTCAGCAGACCGAGCAGAAAGCGTGCTGCCGGCACAACATCTGAACAGAGGCTGAGATTGACGACACAATAGGATGATGAGAGAGGCGGTCATAAGATGGCGTTTTTTGAGAGGAAAGAAAATATTAGGGGGAGGGGGAAAACCAATCACTTCGGCAAGAACCTATCAATAATAATAAAATATATGTATAATATATTATACATATATTTTAGGCATTTTCGTGTAATAAATTATTCCATGTTATAAATTATTTTGTATTACATTTTAAATTATATTGTATTTTACATTAACTTTTGTATTAAATTCTGTATTAAAAGAAAATAAAAAATTTTTCCTCAATGATCTCCACTTTAAAAAAAGCATTTTCTGGATGAGGAGGTTTGAGTATTCTAATGAACCTGAGAACTATGCGAGCGGTAACATACGCCGATATTCATATAGACTTTTCTTTAATTATGAATACCGACCGTAGTTATTGATAGGATCACCCATGCCGGATAGGTCGAAAAAGAAGGCCAAGAGAGACACCAAGATTATATAAATATTTGTTATATTAATTATATTAATATTTTTAAATAAAATGAAAGAAAAAGGGACAATAATCGAGAAAATAGAAAAAGGCAACTACAATGATTTGAATATCTATACCTGAGAACAAATGTCCATAGAATGTATTCCGATGGACTCCATAGGAAGAAATAAGCATGACAAGTGATGATAATTTTTATGATGTTAACACAAAGGAATACACTAAACCAATAATAATCCAAGAACTCGAAGAAGAGAAAATATATTGGATAGAAATGCATAGTGATTGGAAATAATTAGAAACTAAAAGACAGTATGTATACAATCTATTTATTAATAGTAATACTATTTTGTAATTATATTAAATTTTATAATTTAGTACATTGTGTTATATAAAGTATTAAGCACAAAAGTATTATGCTGGTATGAAAATTATAATAAAAATATATAAATAATGTTAATTTTATTAGAATGGAACATATAAATTCTTTATATTTTATATAAAGGAAGAGATTTAAAATATTTTGCAACATGTATATTTTTTGAGTTTTAATTATAAAAACTTTAGAAGAATAAGTGATTAATTTGACAAATTCTACACATATATTAATAATTAAATTTTTAATAATAAAAAAAATGATTGATAAATATCAAAGATCAGTTTACTACTAATTAAGAAAATTTATAGAAATACGATTAAAAATGTTTTTATCCCACAGCAGGAATTTTGTGTTTTATAAATAAAAAGATATAAATATGACAATGAATATAGAAAAATATTTATTTCATTTTTGAATATTACAGTATCTTTCACGACTGAATAATTTATTTATTATCAATTTACATACATAAGTATCTTGTTATACAGCACTGGTGCTATCGGCATTTCGTACACATAGCACAAAACAAAACCAGAAATTGTGCACATTATATGTTACTCTCCGAGAACATGGATATTGGCTTTGTAGTTCATGTCCACAGAGAGAATATCGCTTTCAGGGATCATCTAAAAGTAGGCCGAAGAGCGGGCTTTTCGTTGGACGCGGGAGTACGTGCCTTCTGAAAATTTTGATGGAAATCTGTTCTTTATAATTGTGTGAGGTGTTTCTACCACCTGAGATTTATCTACGTGATTTCTTTTGGTGTTTTCTTTTAAGATTTCACCGCTCTCGGCTAGAGTGTGAGGAAATATTTAATACTAAAAGCGAGGAAATAATAGATAACCTTAAGCCTCCTTCTCAAGGCGGGAGAGATAACTCCCGCCTTCAAACTTTAGAATGTCTCAATTGTCTCAATGTGTGAGCGAAAAAATGGAAAGCGAATTATCAGATATGCATAATATAATGCATGATCAAGTAATGGAAATAATTTTGGTTAGATCAAATCTTAAAAGGCAGTATTCAAGTACGTCGGAGGATTCCACTGCGTCTCCAACGTGGGACCAAATAAAGGATAAACCAGGTGACATCATTTAAAAGTGACTCAAAAAAATCTAAGTCAAAAAAAATAGTAAATGTAGATTCGTCACAGGAAGAGTCCTTTCAAAAAGCACCCATATCAGCAATATTTGAATACTGATAATATGATAAACAAGAGAGGAAATACTCAAAATAAAATTCTCGACTCGGGAGACAATACAATAACCAATAATTTTGGTATGACCGCTATAATAAAAGTCCGTTTATTGTTTTTGTCAGAAAAATTGTTGATAACAAATCTAGATCCACTTCTATAATTAAAGCTTCTAGGTTATTAACAAAGAATATCAAATTTGAAGAAATAGAGCATCATGCTTGGAACACGTGGAAAATTTCTTTCAAGTCTTTCCAAGATGCAAATTCTGCCATCCGGAATAAGTTTATATCGGATTTGAGATTAACTCTATATATCCCCAAATACAAGATTTTTAGAAAAGGTGTGATCAAAGGCATTCCTAATGACATTCCATTAAATGAATTGCAGGCCACACTGGAAAAGGATAACCCATGCTTCGATTAAATTACATATTTAGACTGAAAAGAAGAGACTCTGTTACAAAAAAATGGATTGACTCTCAGGTCAGTCTGTCTAAAATTTAAAAGTCAAGACCTTCCTAGAAATATTAAACTCTGGAAAGTCAATTTATTTGCATCCATATGTTACTCTTGTAAGAAGATGTTACAAATGTGGCAAGCTGGGCCACACCAGTAAAGGATGCGAACAAGAACAAAACACATGTCCCAATTGCGGGTTAATACACCCTATTGGGATTGGCTAAACTGTGATACGCTATCTGGTGGCAGAAATCAGAACTAAAAAGAGTAGGTCGCTGGCTGTCATAACATTTATGAAAAGTATGTAAATAAATAAATCGATTTGTTACTTTTATTTGATAACGGTAAATTTTTTTATGTGACATTTTTAATACATCTGTTACGAGATCAGCCCATTCAGATAGAGAGCGCGTCGATCAAACGATCGGATTTTCCATCCGGGACGCCACCGCGCGACACACACGCACAACACCACTCTCCTAGACTGGTGAAGGAGGGAGCAGAGAGGGCCTTCTGGTGGCTTGGGCCTCCTCGAGCTGTGTCGTGGGGCGAGCTGGTTTTTGTTTGTCGTTCTGATAAGACGTGACTTATCACGGTTCTCGTGGGTGCAATTTTGTGCAATACGATTTTTCCCAAAGGTGAGATTCTTCGAATCTCTTGATCGGTTATCAATCTAGCACTGGATTATTAAGGCCGATCATCAATATCAGCAAGTTCTGTTCGAAGGGACAATCAAGAAAGAAAGTCAAGGGAGAGCTCGGCCATCTTTCTGCATGCTAAGACGACTGGACTAAACAACACACTCAATCTCACTTAATTGATCTCTTACAAGTTGGATTATCTATCTTCCATTTATTATATGTAACTCGAATTAAACCAGGTAACTCATAAGTTAATAAGAAATCTGAATAATGACTGTTCCTTAGATTGGCTGTTAGTGAGTAGGTTTTGAGACAAAGACATCGACAACTAGAGTCACGTTTCAACGATATTTATTCATTATTTATTATCTCTACCTAATAAATAGTTACATAACATTGTTCGTCATTTGAGTTAACTAACTCTTAACAGTATAAATTGAATATTATTATATGTAAGTTTATATTCCTTTCTTTCCTTTTCTTATTGTCTAATTAATATTAGTAAATAGCTCAAGCCAAAGAACTAAAATATAAGTACAATAATTTCGATATACTGCATGATTTTATTTTATTACCTTGTATGAGAAGAAACCATGTGTATTTTATCTGTATGTGTTTCAGTTATAAGACTCGATTACATTTTCTCCTTTTGTTTACAACCATAAACAAAAATAGGCACTTATGATTCGCTAAACAGTTACCATTGCCGTAACATATTTTGGTCCTTCGAGCCGGATGTATAGATACATAGTCCGAATACAGTGCAATTTAAGGGAGAGTTATAAGTGTTATCATTTCTAATCTTCAACTACGTCACAATGAGGATCTCTCACATCCAAGGTCGCCTTGAACAGCAACATTCTTTAAGCACGCTCATTGTTCGATCTTTAGAAAGCTTCACTCAAATTCCAACAATTGAACTCACATCTCGTGTGATTAATGCACGTTTAACGTCACTCACCGATAACTGGGACAAATTCTCAATAATTCATGATGCTATTGTGATATCAATCAATCAGCTTAGCCCTTCTAAACAAGAACTCATACGAAATCATCCTTACTTTACTGACAATATCCACTCTACGACTTACGAACGTTATTTAGAGTGTGTTGACAGAATGAACGCTCATCTTGATTCAGAGGAACAATTGAAAGAAGGTACGTCTTCGACTCAATCTCTGTCTCAATCCACAGCAAATCAATTATCAGTCTCACATCACACAAGATTACCTCGGATCGATCTTCCTAAATTTAACGATGCTCCATCCGAGTGGCTGTCGTTTAAGGATTTATTCTCATCAATCATCATCAGAAATATTACGCTCAGTTCTGTAGAAAAACTGCAATATCTAAAGGCCAGCTTGACAGGAACTGCCTCTCATTTACTGAAGAATACGTCATTAACAGCAGACAACTTTCAAAAGGCCTGGGACGATCTCATCTCCTTCTATGAAAACAAACGCCTCTTAGTCAACGCTGCCATACAAGCATTACTATCGTTGAGAAGAATGACAAGGGAATCAGCAACGGATCTTGAATACTTATATACCAATCTCATGCAAATCTTCCGAACGTTAGAGACGTTACAACGACCTGTGGACAAATGGGATGATTTCCTTGTATTTTTAGCAGTGCAACGCCTAGACTCTGACTCTGTTAAGGCGTGGGAACAACATCTAGGCTCTGCCAAGGAACCGCCTACGTGGAAACAGTTTTGTGAATTTTTAGTCACACGATTACTCTCCTTGCAAGCCTTTGAAAAATCTCGCGGTATCAAGGTTACAACGAAAGCGCAACAAAACACCTTTAAATCACATTTTCAAGCTAAAAATTCAGACATCGGTGACACGTCTTCTTCTTCGTGTATTATATGTTCTTCCAAGCACTATCTCGCTAAATGTCCACAGTATATATCAAAGACCACTCAACAACGCTACTCAATCCTCACAAAGCACGGGCGCTGTTACAACTGTTTGGGAGCTCATCGAGTGTCAGACTGTCATTCAACTAAACGGTGCATAAAGTGTGGTCGAAAACATCATACCACTATTCATAAACAACCCAGTTTAGATAAACAGGTTGACTCAACAAAAGCGACCACACCACAGGAGACTGTAACAAAATCTAGTTCTTCTCAGGTCTTACATTTGAATATTAATTCAACTCATGCTACCTCATGTGTGTTGCTAGCAACAGCTCAGGTTGTCATCATCAACCAGAAAGGAAGTACCTTACAGATCAGAGCATTGATTGATCAAGGCTCGGAAATTACGTTAATAACCGAAAGAGTAGCCCAGAATTTAAAGCTTTCTAGGTCACATTCATGGATTCCCTTGGTAGAAGTTGGAGGACACTCGTCTTGTAAAACCCGTGGCGTCACATTGTTCAAGATTGCTGCTATTTATGAGAACTCGGAAACACTTGAAGTATCCGCACATATTCTACCCAAGCTTACCAACTCAATTCCTTCAGTGTCAATTGATATGCATCAATGGCAACATCTTATTGAATTAACTCTGGCAGATCCTCACTTTCTACAACCATTAGCTGTTGATATGATAATTGGAGCTGATGTATACCACCAGATCATCCGTGAGGGGTTAAAGAAAGGACCTATTGACTCTCCTATCGCACAGCTTACTGCCTTTGGGTGGATTATCTCTGGCCCGACCTCGGCGAATCGAACATCACTATTGACCAATAGTTACCATGCCTCTATGGATCAACAATTGTTTGATGTTCTCCGTAAGTTTTGGGAACAACAGGAGGTATGTATTAACAAGAGTTCCTCCCTATCCCCGGAAGAGCAAGCCTGCGAGAAACACTTTCAAGACACACACTCAAGAGACCCACAAGGTCGTTACGTGGTAAGCTTACCGTTTAAGAGGTCTGCTAAAGAGTTAGGTCCGCTAAATTCACGACACAAAGCAGCACGTATGTTGACATCTCTATGGAATAAATTTAACTCAGATACAATTTATGCTCAAGCTTATTCAAAATTCATGACTGAATATAAAGATCTACATCACATGAGGTTGATAGACGATATTCAACCTGAACCTCAACCCAACTTTTACTTACCTCATCACGGCGTATGGAAAGAAAACAGTACGACTACTAAGCTTAGAGTTGTCTTTAATGGATCTAGCCGTACAACTTCAAGACTTTCGCTCAATGACATTCTTCACACCGGTCCTAAATTGCAACTCGAATTACTAGATGTACTTATCTGGTTTAGACAGTTTCGATATGTTTTCTCGGCAGATATCGAAAAGATGTATCGCCAGATCAATATCCATCCAAAGGACTGGAAATACCAGCGAGTATTATGGTCAACGTCTGAAGATCATGTTGATACATACGAATTGACAACGGTAACGTACGGCCTGGCGTGCGCTCCATACTTAGCACTCCGTACAATCCTACAACTGGTGGAAGATGAGAAAATGAATTATCCTCTCGCCATTCCTTGTCTCACTAAGGGCAGATATGTGGACGACGTTTTTGGAGGAGCAGAGTCAATTGAAGCATTGAAAGCACAAGTCGTACAATTAAATCAACTATGCTTGGCAGGCGGATTTCAATTGCAGAAATGGACAAGTAATCTGGATTCAATACTTGATTCACTACCACGAGGTATACGAGATGATGGATCATCCAAGTTCATCGATCGAACCTCTTGTGTTCAAGTTCTTGGATTAAATTGGCATCCACAATCTGATACGTTTCATTTTATCCTCAACCCTCCAACAAGTCATTCCATTACTAAACGAGCTGTATTGTCTCTTATAGCAAAGTTATTCGACCCACTCGGATTATTATCACCTATCATTATCAAGGCTAAAATTCTTATACAAGAATTATGGACTCAAAGGTTAGACTGGGATGATCCGTTACCAACGCAGTTTGCCGACAAATGGGAGACATTTTTAAGCGAATTATCAGACATTAATCTCATTCATATTCCACGATGGATTGGAAGTAAGCCAGAGCAGCAGATCCAGATTCATGGCTTCTGCGATGCTTCTCAGCAGGCATTTGCGGCGTCGGTTTATCTCCGAACAACTAATGCAGAAACAAAATCCACTGCCATGTTGATCGTATCAAAAACTAAAGTCGCACCATTAAAGAGACTGACCATACCAAGATTAGAATTATCTGGTGCAGTATTACTCACTAAATTAGTCTCTCATATTCTATCAGTTTTAGATCTCAAAGGAGTCTCAGTATTTCTCTGGACGGATTCTTCAGTAACGTTAACGTGGATAAATGGATCTGCATCAAAGTGGACAGATTTCGTTCACAACAGAGTAGTCTATATCCAAGAAACTCTACTACAAGCAAGGTGGAGATTTGTATCTGGAAAAGAGAACCCAGCCGATATTGCTACGAGAGGAGTGTCTCCGTCACAGCTGAACAAATTCACATGCTGGTGGGAAGGACCCACGTGGCTGTCTCAATCCCCCGACACTTGGCCTGTTGATTCTGACACCGTTTCGACATCAGACAATTTAGAAGAGCGTCCAGCTCAAATTACCACAGTAACATCAGGTCAGATTTCACATCCGTGGGATTTATTGGCACGATATTCAGATCTCAAGAAGTTGCTACGCATAACAGCTATGTGTATGAGAGCCGCAGAGCGATTTAGACAGTCAGTTTCACTGACAAATCCATTAACTGTTTGTGAGATTGACAAAGCAAGGATGTTTTGGATTAAACATATTCAACAAATATACTTCAAACAGGAAATTAGCGTTCTCTCAGGAGGCGCTACTTTACCCAAGTCCAGTCCATTGACTCGTCTTACACCCTTTTTAGATGCAAATGACCTTCTACGAACAGGGGGACGTCTTCAACATTCAAGTTTACCTGAAGATTCTAAGCACCTACTAATATTACCCAAACAGTCTCTCTTTACTGTTTTAATTATCTCAGATGCACATTTGAAAACCCTACATGGAGGGACGCAAATTACTTTAACACATCTACGACAAAATTATTGGATAGTAGGAGGTCGGATTCCAGTAAAGTCTTTCATCCTTAAATGCATTATCTGCACAAGGTACAGGCAAAAACGAGCACAGCAGATTATGGGCCAACTTCCAGAAAAAAAGAGTCAATCCTACCATACGTCCATTCTTCAATTCTGGTGTTGACTATGCAGGCCCATTTTCTATCAAGACTTGGAAAGGAAAAAATGCACGACAGTACAAAGCCTATATAGCCGTATTTGTGTGCTACTCAACCTCTGCTTCTCACCTTGAATTAGTGACAGATTATTCTTCAGACGCCTTCATTGCGGCGTATAAACGTTTCGCAGCTAGACGCGGTATATGTGCAACACTCTCCAGTGATTGCGGCACCAATTTGATGGGCGCTGATAAAGAGCTACGAAACCTATTTTCGGCCTCTTCGAAAGAGTCAGACAAGTTATTGACCTTACTCGCAAATGATGGCACACAATGGATTTTTAATCCACCAAGCGCTCCCCATTTTGGAGGAAAATGGGAGGCGACAGTCAAATCAGTTAAGCATCATCTCAAACGCATTGTGGGCAATCAGTTACTCACGTACGAAGAGATGACTACGTTGCTATCACAAATCGAGGCAGTTCTCAATTCGAGACCCTTGAGTCCGCTTTCAGATGATCCTGAGGATCTTTCAGCTTTGACACCAGGCCATTTTTTGGTGGGAGGTGCTCCCACAATTATACCTGAACCTATGCTAAACAATGTTAACTGTTCTAGGTTGTCAAGATGGCAGTTACTTAAACAAATGTTGGACACGTTCTGGTCACGTTGGTCGCAGGAATGTCTCCAAAGATTTCATGATGTATCTAAATGGAACAAGCCAGTACCATCTCTGAAAAAAGATTCACTTGTTCTGGTTGTGGATGAACGGTATCCGCCAGCTAAGTGGCCTCTCGGCCGAGTTATAGACGTTCATCCTGGCGCAGATGGGCATGTCAGAGTTGTTACAGTTCGCACTCAGACATCTGTTCTCAAACGTCCTATCGTAAAACTGTGCCCATTACCTATCGAACGAACAGATTCATGAGGAATATTCTTTGACCCCGGTCAACGAAGGCAGGCGGGGAATGTTACGAGATCAGCCCATTCAGATAGAGAGCGCGTCGATCAAACGATCGGATTTTCCATCCGGGACGCCACCGCGCGACACACACGCACAACACCACTCTCCTAGACTGGTGAAGGAGGGAGCAGAGAGGGCCTTCTGGTGGCTTGGGCCTCCTCGGGCTGTGTCGTGGGGCGAGCTGGCTTTTGTTTGTCGTTCTGATAAGACGTGACTTATCACGGTTCTCGTGGGTGCAATTTTGTGCAATACGATTTTTCCCAAAGGTGAGATTCTTCGAATCTCTTGATCGGTTATCAATCCAGCACTGAATTATTAAGGCCGATCATCAATATCAGCAAGTTCTGTTCAAAGGGACAATCAAGAAAGAAAGTCAAGGGAGAGCTCGACTAATCGGCCATCTTTCTGCATGCTAAGACGACTGGACTAAACAACACACTCAATCTCACTTAATTGATCTCTTACAAGTTGGATTATCTATTTTCCATTTATTATATGTAACTCGAATTAAACCAGGTAACTCATAAGTTAATAAGAAATCTGAATAATGATTGTTCCTTAGATTGGCTGTTAGTGAGTAGGTTTTGAGACAAAGACATCGACAACTAAAGTCACGTTTCAACGATATTTATTCATTATTTATTATCTCTACCTAATAAATAGTTACATAACATTGTTCGTCATTTGAATTAACTAACTCTTAACAGTATAAATTGAATATTATTATATGTAAGTTTATATTCCTTTCTTTCCTTTTCTTATTGTCTAATTAATATTAGTAAATAGCTCAAGCCAAAGAACTAAAATATAAGTACAATAATTTCGATATACTGCATGATTTTATTTTATTACCTTGTATGAGAAGAAACCATGTGTATTTTATCTGTATGTGTTTCAGTTATAAGACTCGATTACATTTTCTCCTTTTGTTCACAACCATAAACAAAAATAGGCACTTATGATTCGCTAAACAGTTACCATTGCCGTAACAACATCCAATCTATTTACAATTATATATGGATAACAATAGTTATGGAGACCGGAGTGAAATTTCCACCTAAAAAGTCCAAAAGCAAAATATTTTGCTCTGTTTTCGGCTATAATAGCAAAGCATGTAAAAATCCAGAATTGAGTTTTCATCGCTTTCCTGAAGTCGGCCAAGTAAAAGTCAATCATTTAAATAAATTTGGACAAAGTGAACTGATTGACAGAAGAGTGTTGTGGGAGAGAGCTTTAAAAATAGGCAAAAAAGTGACACAAAATATGCGAGTTTGCTCGCTTCATTTCGTCGAAGATGATTACTCTGTATTTACAGGACCAAGTAAATTGTCACTCGTCTAAAAGCAATTTTTATTATTTTTATATTTTCTATTTAATAATTAAATTTTAATAGTTTTATGCAGATTAATTACATTAAATCTCGATTATTATTTAATCTCAAAATATAATAAACTGTTTATGTGCAATATTTTAAGCTAATATATGTACATTTGACAAACAAAATTTTTATTTAGTTACATAATAATTAACTAAAAAATAAACTTATTTTTAAATTAATATTATTTTTTAGATTACCCAACTAAAGCAAGATTTTTGAAAAAAAGGAGTGTACCATTAATTTACCTCTATTAATTTACCACATTCTAGCATTGGGATTCCTGATATTTCACAAAAGACAATTATTAAAAGGCAAATTCGATTGGAAAATTGTTTGCAAAATATTAAATTAAATGCAAAGGAAAAAGAGACTGAATGTAATTGTTTTCTTACTGTAGAGGGAAATATTACTGCTCAAACTGACACACTCCTTGATGAAGAAATTAATATAGAAAAATCCAGTGATGTTCCTCAGAAAAAAATTTTGATTGATGTTGGAGTGCAAATAAAAAGTGGAGATTTAATTGATACTTGCTTTTTACATTTTTTAAAAACTGATCAAGAATTGAGTACTGCTACTGGAATTCAAAATTTTCAATTGTTTGACAGTATTGTAGCTGCTATTAAAATAGTTGCACCACACTTTAACAAGCACACTAGTGTATTAAATATTCGTGAAAGAGTTTTAATGACTTTTATGAAATTGAAACAGAATTTAAGTTATTCGTTTTTATCTATTTTGTTCCCAACGGTTAGTGTAAGATATTGTTCAGAGATTATTTGTAACATGTTGGATATTTTAGGTGAAGTTTTAGAGCCATGTATTCATTTTCCATTAAGAGATGAAATCTTAAGAAACATGCCATTATGCTTTGCTGACTATCCTGATACTTGCATAATAGACTGCACCGAAATAGAAATACAAAAGCCAAAAAATTTATGTTGTCAAATAACAACTTACTCGACTTACAAAAGGAGATATACTGTAAAGTTTATGACTGGAGTAACACCTGATGGTATAATATCTTTTGTCAGCAGAGCTTACAGAGGCAGAGCATCAGATAAAGCAATCTTTGAACAAAGTCTTTTGTTGCAACGATTAAAGAAGGGTGTGTCAGTTATGGTAGACAGAAGTTTCCTGATAGATGAATTGTGTTGTGACTATGATGTAAAATTGATTAGACCGTCATTTCTTAAAGATAATATTCAGTTTTCTAAAGATAATGCTAAAAAGAATGCAAATATTGCAAGTGCAAGAGTGCACGTTGAAAGACTCAATCAAAGATTAAAAGTATTTGAAATACTGGGCAGTAAAATGTCCTCATGTCTTATACCAAAAAGCGAGAAAATTATGACTATTTTATGTGCAATAGTAAATCTAAACAGTCCCATTTTCAAGAATGATAAATTTCTTAATTTTTCTTAATAAAACTATTATATTTATAGTATACAAATACTAAAATGCAAACAGATTTTGTAAACATAGTTTCTTATAATAAAAATGTTAAAACTTCAAGTTTATAAGTTATATTAAAAATTTTATAAAATGTTTTTATTATCTGTAAGTATAAATTGGTTTTTATATAAAAAAGTTAATTTTATTTTTATCAATCAATTTATTTAGCAATTCCCTCTTTAATACAAATGTGATGCAACATTACATTGTGTAGTAAACATTTTTTAAAGATTTTAACATATAATCTGTAAATTCATGATTAAATTCAACTGTTAGAATAAAGAAACTATTGTCAAAAGACGCGTATATAATAAAGTCGGTTCTTTGTACATTCAAGATTACCATTCCGAGCTGAATCTGTGCAAAATAGTTGGTTTTTTCTTTTAATGTTAAATCTTTATTTAAATAATTAAGGCCCGGTTCCACAATTTTCAGTTTAACCCGAGTTTAGCTAAACGGCCGTCAAAGTTAACGCTTACGTTAAACTGCGTTAAACCTGTATTCCGTTCCACAACTCGTAACCATAGGTTATGTAAACCTATACTCTTTTCATTGAAACTCAGAAACGTGAACTGTGATTGGTTGGCTGAGATTTTGTAAAGAAGAGGGAAAAATGTGACGGTAAAGAGATCAGCTGTCTATTATTGTTGTGCAATAAATAGAAATAGAATTTTGTGCAAGATTAAATATAATTGTGTAATGTCGAATAAAAAAGAATTGTCCGTGAAGGATAATCCTAAAAAACGATTACCAAATTTTTCGACAGACGAAAAAATAACGTTAATTGAAATTATCGAAAAGAAAAAAGACATAATTGAAAACAAACAAACTAATGGTGTAACTATCAAAGAAAAAGAAAAATGTTGGTTAGAGATAAGCCGTGAATTTAATAGCAGATGCATAAAAGCAAACCGAAATGTGATGTCGCTAAAAAGTTGCTGGGATAATTTAAAAAAGAAGACTTGGAAACATTTTGCAGAAATACGTAAAGAAGTTTTCGCAACAGGTATATGTTGTATATAAGCATATTGTCTATAAACATATACAATTATTAATTAATAACGTGTAGGCGGTGGAAAAATCCCTGAAAATAACTATCCCTGATGACCCGATAGCTGAAAAAGTCAAAAGTGTTATTGAACCATCGATCGAAAGTTTAATCCATTTGACAGCGATTGTGTAGCAGGTATATTTATTTTTTATATACTTTGAGAGAATATGATATATAGATAGATTATATACATCGTATAAATATCTTGGCATCTAATTTTCGAAATAGAACCAGAATCTCAAAATATGAAATAATCGTAAACTTTTTTTATAGGCGGAGATGACATCAATGTGGATGAGGATATAAACGACAATGACGATGTGTATATGGATGTATGTATTGCAAATAGTTTCTGTATTTTAATCTTGGGAGAGGAGTGTTATTTTATGTACTCGCTTATTGATAATGCTTATTGATGTTAGTAAATCGATATTTCATGCGTTTTGATTAAATACATTTCTTTTTTTTAGTATCACTTTATCATTGATGATTGTTAGTCAATATTTTCAAAATGACTTTCTTGATGTTCCAAATATATTACTACACAACAGCAATACTAATTATGATATGTTTATTAATCATAAACACTCAACGAAACAGATGATTTAACGACAAATTGGACTGATTGGACGCCGGCAATGCTACAGTCGGAGAAGAGTACTGAATTACAGGTTCCAACGACGGTTTTATGCGTCGATGAAAGAGATACGAATCTTACATATAGTGAAATAGAGGCAATTATGGGAACATCGTCCAAGGAAAATCAAAATGTAAATCCTGCAAGTTTGAATGTAAAAAAAAAACTGTAAAACGAGGAAAACAGACAAGAATGCCTGTAAGACGCTGTAAGACGCAATCAATGTTTTTACGATTTAGCTCAATCTAAAGCCGAATTAGTCGAGCTAATGAAAAAGGATCTGCGTGCAAAAATCTGAAATAGAAATAAAAATTTTAAACACACAATTGCAAAAAGAACAACTTGAAATTGAACTTTTAAGAAAGCAACTCCAATCATATGAGCAATAAAATGCCTTTATTTTTTTTCTTACTAATCTTCCCCAGTAAACACAAAATAACAGTAACATAACATCAATGTTATAATTTCTCACTCAACAATGGAACTATTATGTACAAGGTAAGGTATGTTATATTGCAGTTATATTGTTGTGAGAAATTATATTGATATTATTACTTTTGCTTTGTGTTTACTGGATCCTTACTAATTTTTTCCTTAAAAAATACTTTTCTTATTATATATATATATATATATATATATATATATATATATTATATATATCTACATAAATATTCTTGGGATGTTGTCTGAATATGAGTTGAAAGATTTGTAGCCATTTTATCCTTCGATCAACTTATGCTGCAAATTTGACTATACATTTTCAGATTACTTCTACAGGAAGTATCAGAGGTTAATTTAAATTTAATTATTATTTATTTATTAAAATACAATAAAAATGCAAGTATAAAAAATATGAATTATATAATAAATAATATAATAAGAATAAATAATAGAATAAATAATAGAATAAATAATATGATTATAACATGATTTCGTATATGACGTAAGACACAGAAGCAAACACTTTTACATTTTATATTTTAAAAAGAAAAGCCCTCCTTTTTAGACAAATTCTATATAAACATGCACTGCTATATACATAATATTCTTCAACTTTTTTCACAGTAAAGATTATTCTACAGCAAGCTGAAAAATAATATCATATTACTTTTCAATATTACTATATATAAGAAGTACTTACATAAATAATTAAAGATATTTTTATTCTCACCTGCGAAAATAATCATTGATTAGTATGTTCTGCATATGATTATTACCAGATGTATCATTCATAAGTGGTATATTTCCCTTTTCTAAAATTTCTGCCCATGGTACAGGCAACTGTAGCGGATCATCTGGTGGTATCGGATCGCCAGCACGCCGGGGCAATGTTATGTAATATGGCAGTTGCCACAATAACTGGCAATACTCTTTGGACTTTAGAAAATCGAGAACCCAATGCTAAAATTGGAAATCGTCTTTTCCATATACCAAACACGCGCTCAATGATATTGCGTGTTCTAATAAGCGACTCATAATAGAGTTCCTGAGCACGAGTTTCTGTATTGCATAGAGGTGTTATTTAAATAAGACTGAACTGGATAAGCTCCATCACCTAAGAGCAAGGCATCTCCAAATATTCCAGTCTTAAAATAGAGTCATGCACAGATCTTGCCAACGAGCTACAAGGTTCGTTATTTCCAAATTAGCATTACAAATTGCTTGGACATTAATCGAAAAGTAACCTTTTCGATTTCTGAAGTATTCTGCATCATTTCCACCTGAAAATATTTACAATAATTATTGACACTTCTACAATAGCAAGAAAGTGTTTATATAAAGTTTGTATAAATTTCACCCAAATATCTATGATATACACAATTTAAAAATTAATTATCAAATGACTGGATTTTCACATGAGTGTCAATACAGCCCACAACTCTCGTAAATCTTGCAATATCAAAAAACTTTATTTGCTCAGATTTTATTTCATCATTAACAGTTGAAAATTTTATAAACCTTGGCCGAAGACGAGTTATAGAATTCGTTACGCAATGGACAATTTTGTGAGCACTCGTTTTGCTAACTCCAGAAAAATCACCTGCCGATATTAAGTGGCTGCCAGTAGCGTAAAATCTTAACGTCAGGAGGAGCTGATTCATGGGAGAAATAGTATTATTCCTAAATAAATTATAGTCATAATAAATAAATAGCAGTCATAAATTATAGTTATGTACAAAA